GCTACACAGCAGCAGCCCCTGGCCTTTTGGCAGTAGATGGTGTATTACGACTGGTATCCATCATCGTCGTATTCCAGTTCAATCAGAGGCACCTGGGCAGACATGCTTTGTCTCCTGGAGACTCAGTCCTGCCAGCAGTCCTATTGAACTGTCTTGACGATGATGGCTAGCAGTCATAGTACAGTATCTTCTGCCAAGCACCCAGAAGATGCCGAGGGCTATCAGTCATGCTGCACCGTCTGCTGCCAGCTTAAGATGTAAAAAATAGATGTATTCATTTGCTTCCCCCTCCCTCCGTGAAATCAACGGCCTGCTAAACCCAGGGTTTTGAGTTCAATCTTTGGGGGGGCCATTCTGTGTGACAGTTGTTTGTGTTTCTCCCTGATGCACAGCCACCTTTGTTGATTTAATTCCCTGTACCTGTACGCCATGTCGTCAGTCGCCCCTCCCTCCCTCCATCAGTTTCGCGCCTTTTTTCAGCCCAGACGCCATAGCACTGGGATCATGGAGCCTGCTCAGATCACCACGGCAATTATGAGCACTATGAACACCACGCGCATTGTCCTGGAGTATATGCAGAGCCAGGACATGCCAAACCAAAACCAGGACCAGCCGAGGAGGCGATTGCAGCGTGGCGACGAGAGTGATGAGGAAATTGACATGGACATAGACCTCTCACAAAGTACAGGCCCCAGCAATGTGCAAATCATGGTGTTACTGGGGCAGGTTCATGGCGTGGAATGCCGATTCTGGGCCCGGGAAACAAGCACGGACTGGTGGTACCGCATCGTGTTGCAGGTGTGGGACGATTTCCAGTGGCTGCGAAACTTTCGCATGCGTAAGGGCACTTTCATGGAACTTTGTGACTTGCTTTCCCCTGCCCTGAAGCACCAGAATACCAGGATGAGAGCAGCCCTCACAGTTGAGAAGTGAGTGGCGATAGCCCTGTGGAAGCTTGCAACGCCAGACAGCTACCGGTCAGTCGGGAATCAATTTGGAGTGGGCAAATCTACTGTGGGGGCTGCTGTGATCCAAGTTGCCAGGGCAATCAAAGACCTGGTGATATCAAGGGTAGTGACTCTGGGAAACGTGCAGGTCATAGTGGATGGCTTTGCTGCAATGGGATTCCCAAACTGTGGTGGGGCGATAGACGGAACCCATATCCCTATCTTGGCACCGGAGCACCAAGCCACCGAGTACATAAACCGCAAGGGGTACTTTTCAATGCTGCTGCAAGCCCTGGTGGATCACAAGGGACGTTTCAACATCAACGTGGGATGGCCAGGAAAGGTACATGATGCTCGCGTCTTCAGGAACTCTCGTCTGTTTCGAAACCTGGAGGAAGGGACTTTCTTCCCGAACCAGAAAATAACCGTTGGGGATGTTGAAATGCCTATCATTATCCTTGGGGACCCAGCCTACCCCTTAATGCCACGGCTCATGAAGCCGTACACAGGCAACCTGGACAGTAGTCAGGACCTGTTCAACTATAGGCTGAGCAAGTGCCGAATGGTGGTGGAATGTGCATTTGGATGTTTAAAAGCGCGCTGGCGCAGCTTACTGACTCGGATAGATCTCAGCGAAACCAATATCCCCATTGTTATTGCTGCTTGCTGTGCGCGCCACAATATCTGTGAGAGTAAGGGGGAGACATTTATGGCGGGGTGGGAGGTTGAGGCAAATCGCCTGGCCGCTGATTACGCGCAGCCAGACACCAGGGCAGTTAGAAGAGTACAGCAGGGCGCGGTGCGCATCAGAGAAGCTTTGAAAACCAGTTTTGTGACTGGCCAGGCTACGGTGTGAAACTTCTGTTTGTTTCTCCTTGATGAACCCTCCGCCCCCCCCCCGGTTCAATCTACTTCCCTGTAAACCAAACACCCCACCCTCCCCTCCCCCCTTCGAGCACCGCTTGCAGAGGCAATAAAGTCATTGTTACTTCTCATTCATGCATTCTTTATTAATTCATCACACAACTAGGGGGATAATTGTCAAGGTAGCCCAGGATGGGTGGGGGAGGAGGGAAGGAAAAGGACACACTGCAGTTTAAAACTTTAAAACTTTAACACTTATTGAAGGCCAGCCTTCCGATGCTTGGGCAATCATCTGGGGTGGAGTGACTGGGTGGCCGGAGGCCCCCCCACCGTGTTCTTGGGCGTCTGGGTGAGGAGGCAACGGGACTTGGGGAGGAGGGCTGTTGGTTACACAGGGGCTGTAGCGGTGGTCTCTGCTCCTGCTGCCTTTCCTGCAGCTCAACCATACGCTGGAGCATATCAGTTTGATGCTCCAGCAGCCAGAGCATCGACTCTTGCCTTCTGTCTGCAAGCTGACGCCACCTATCATCTTCAGCCCGCCACTTGCTCTGTTCAGCCCGCGATTCATCCCGCCACCTCTCCTCTTGTTCAAATTGTGCTTTTTTGCACTCTGACATTGACTGCCTCCACGCATTCTGCTGTGCTCTTTCAGCGTGGGAGGACATCTGGAGCTCCGTGAACATATCATCCCGAGTCCGCCGTTTTCTCCTTCTAATCTTCGCTAGGCTCTGCGAAGGAGCAACATTTGCAGCTGGTGGAGGAGAAGGGAGAGGTGGTTAAAAAAGACACATTTTAGAGAACAATGGGTACACTCTTTCACGTTAAATTTTGCTGTTCACATTACACAGCACATGTGCTTTCGTTACAAGGTCGCATTTTTCCTCTTATATTGAGGGCCTGCCGGTTTGGTGTGAGAGATCACTCACGCAGTGCCAGGCAACAGAATTTGGCTTGCAGGCAGCCATGGTAAACCACAGTCTTTTGGCTTTTTTAACCTTCATAACATGTGGGAATGGTTTTAAACAGCAGCGCCCTCCTTTCCCATACCAAGGACCCACTGGGTTGGCCATTTAAAATGGGTCTGCAATGTAAAAGGAGGGGCTGGGGTTTCCGGGTTAACATGCAGCACAAACCCAACTACCCCCCTCCCCACACACACACACCCAATTCTCTGGGATGCTCACTTCACCCCTCCCCCCGACCACGTGGCTAACAGCGGGGAACATTTCTGTTCAGCCAAGCAGGAACGGGCACCTCTGAATGTCCCCTTAATAAAATCACCCCATTTCAACCAGGTGACCGTGAATGATATCACTCTCCTGAGAATAACAAAGAGAGATAAGGAATGGATGTTGTCTGCATGCCAGCAAACACCGGGACCATACGCTGCCATGCTTTGTTATGCAATGATTCCAGACTACGTGCCACTGGCCTGGCGTGGTAAAGTGTCCTACCATGGCGGACGGGATAAGGCAGCCCTCCCCAGAAACCTTCTGCAAAGGCTTTGGGAGTACATGAAGGAGAGCTTTCTGGAGATGTCCCTGGAGGATTTCCGCTCCATCCCCATACATGTTAACAAACTTTTCCAGTAGCTGTACTGGCCGCGATTGCCAGGGCAAATTAATCATTAAACACGCTTGCTTTTAAACCATGTGTAATATTTACAAAGGTACACTCACCAGAGGTCCCTTCTGTGCCCTCAGGGTCTGGGAGTACGCCTTGGGTGAGTTCGGGGGTTACTGGTCTAGGGTGATAAACATATCCTGGCTGTTGGGGAAACCGGTTTCTCCGCTTCCTTGCTGTGAGCTATCTTTATCATCATCATCTTCCGCGTACCCCGAACCCGCTTCCCTGTTGCGTGTTTCTCCATTGACGGAGTCAACGCACACGGTTGGGGTAGTGGTGGCTGCACCCCCTAGCATGGTATGCAGCACCACATAGAAGCGGCATGTTTGCGGCTCTGCCCCAGACCTTCCGTTTGCCTCTCTGGCTTTGTGGTAGACTTGCCTTAGCCCTTTAATTTTCACGCGGCACTGCTGTGCGTCCCTGTTATGGCCTCTGTCCTTCATGGCCTTTGAGACCTTTTCTAATATTTTGCCATTTCGTTTACTGCTACGGAGTTCAGCTAGCACTGATTCGTCTCCCCACATGGCGAGCAGATCCTGTACCTCCCGTTCTGTCCATGCTGGAGCTCTTTGCGATCCTGGGACTCCATCATGGTTACCTGTGCTGATGAGCTCTGCGTGGTCACCTGTGCTCTCCATGCTGGGCAAACAGGAAATGAAATTCAAAAGTTCGCAGGGCTTTTCCTGTCTACCTGGTCAGTGCATCTGAGTTGAGAGTGCTGTCCAGAGCGGTCACAATGAAGCACTGTGGGATAGCTCCCGGAGGCCAATAACGTCAAATTCCGTCCACACTACCCCAAATCCGACCTGCAAAGGCCGATATTAGCGCTAATCCCCTCGTCGGAGGTGGAGTAAAGAAACCGGTTTAAAGGGCCCTTTAAGTCGAAAGAAAGGGCTTCGTTGTGTGGACATGTCCAGGCTTAATTCGATTTAACGCTGCTAAAGTCGACCTAAACTCGTAGTGTAGACCAGGCTTCAGACGCAGCTTATACAGGCGAAGAAAGAGCTTTGGCTGGTTTGTCTTACGCCGCTTGCCTGAGGGAAATAAGTGATACCAGCAACGGACTTTTGTCACTACAACTGAATTGACACCAAGGGCACTTCCCGGTAGCGATATGCCCGGAAAGATACGAATTACCCACAACCACACTAACGTTACCACCCGGGCACAAGTTTCCACTGGAGACCGGGCCTGGCACGATTTCGCACTCAGTGGTGGCGGAGACTGACACCGTTTCCCACACGGCGGCCTGCCCCTGTCCACGGCGCTAAGCCAGGCTGCTGCCCACGATGCCGTTTCCCACCGCGGCCAGGCCCGTCGAGGGGCCAGGGGGCGACACCCCATTAGCGTGGCCTCCCCTCGAGCGGGCGCTGCTCGCGAGGAAACGGCGGGCGCGCCAGGACGGGGGCTAAGGGGGGCTTCGCAGCTGGCGGAGGGGCGTTGTTTCAATGTCACCGGGTTGGACTGGCTGCGGCCCCGGGGCTGGGGGGCGGGGTCTTGGGGGAGGCGGGCTGAAGTTGGGCCGTTTTCGCCGGAGCCCTTCCGGGGTCAAAGGGCGTGTTTGTGACGGGCGTTGGGTGCGCGGGGCGACGGGAGCCGAGTGAGGCGGAGGCTGCCGGCCGCCCCGGAGCTCGCAGCGGCGGAGCAGCACCAGCACCACCAGGCTGAAGCGGTCCGGCTGGGGCCAGCGCCAGCAGCACCATGTCGCGCGGCTCGATCGAGATCCCCCTCCGGGACACTGACGAGGTGAGGGGGACGCGGCGGCGGCCCCGGGCCTGGTTCCTTCCCCCTCCCGTCCCCTGGCAGTGGTCGGGGGCCCCGGGGCTGTGCGGGGGGCCCCAGGAGTGAGTGAGTGAGTGTAGTGTGTGGTGGCCTCATAACTCTGACCCCCCCCCCCCCATACACACACACACCCACACCCACGGGCCTTGTGAGCCGTCCTCACTCCGCTGAACTCCCCCCCGGCCTGTCGCTCCCCCCTTGGGGTCCAGCGGAATTGTGCCTGGCCGGTTTTCATGGGGAGGAATAGCAGCTGTTAGGAAATGCAGCCCCGGGGCCTCGGCCGGCCGCACGTTGTGGTGGTTGTTTTCACACACGCACCACAAGGAAGAGAATGATGGCCTAGGTCCCCCAAGATAACCTTCAATAAGAAAAGTGTAAGCCTCTTACAAAAACACTAAGGTGCTTAGTTCAAACTCCTTTGATGACTAGTAACTTTCATTTGCCCATGTGCTGTCCAGCTGTAGCATGGAATAGTTAAACTTCATGTTGTCTATGTACAAAGTCACACCAGCTTAGCTAAAAGTGTGTTTTAAAGTCAGCTTAGTTAAATCGGTGGAAAACCTTGTGTGGACACTCCTAATTCAGTTTAAAGCTGATTTATATCAAGTTAAGTTATGGGGGTTCCTTGCCAACATAAACTAAACTGACAATAGGGATATATAGATTTAAGAGTGCCACACAGGTGTTTACACGAGTATAATTAAATCAATTTAAAACTGATATTGGTTCAAAACTTGTATGAAGATGAGTTATTAAAGTGGTGAAGCAGTTATATTCTGTTACTAGATACCTCTTACACATACTTGTTTAAAAAAATCTTTCACTGCAATTAGCTGTTACTATGTTTGAAACTTGCCATCTTATCCACTGGACCAACCTTCCTTTCATATGTCTGTATTCTGGATCATAACCTCTTTGAGAGAGACTCATTTTATGTCTTCTACATTGCTGAGCACATTGTCAGTGTTGTATAAATAATAGGACAGATTTATTCTTTTCTCCCTTTGCCCATAGACTGCAAAAAAATGGATTATATTCTGTTCTCTGAAATATGTTCAGTTTCTGTTGACCGCCGTGGCCATTAGTGCTCTGAGGGCAGTATTTGCTCCCAATCCCATAGATATTTACTTTCTATGTTGTTCGGGGGTAGGGTGACCAGATGTCCCGATTTTATAGGGACAGTCTTGATTTTTGGGTCTTTTTCTTATAGAGGCTCCTATTACCCCCTCACCCCCGTCCCGATTTTTCACACTTGCTGTCTGGTCACCCTATTTGGAGGGTGGTGGTGGGGAAAACCTCTTCAAGTGGACAATCCAGACTCTTGTAGGTTGTCTAATCTAATTTCTGGCATGCTGGAGAGAGTGAGGATTAGGGTTTCTGTTGAGTTTCTATTATAAATATTGTAAATATCTACTTTTTTAAAGTTCCATTTAAAGTCTATAACATGAGTTAACACTTAACATGAATATTATTGTTGCTTTTAGGTCATTGAGCTTGACTTCGATCAGTTACCGGAGGGGGATGAAGTTATAAGTATCCTGAAACAGGAACATACTCAGCTGCACATATGGATTGCCTTAGCGGTCAGTATTTATGCAAATAAATTAATTTCTACTATATTGCATTTGTTAGCAGAAGAAATTAAATTCTTCTTCTAGGTCACTAATTCTGGGCTTGATATTTCTTACATCAATTTTGATATTGCAGATATCAATAGAGGTTCTACAACTTGAGGTTTGTAATTAAATGATACCATTTTTGGCTGCTTCTATTACTATATTTAAAAACTGCACACTTCATTCATTTTGTTTTAACTTCGGTATTTCAAAATAAAAAACATTGTCCTGATAAAAGGGTGTTCAAATATAGTGGGAAAAATACATTGGTGACTTGAGAAAAATAAAATTGTCTCTTTGATTGTGCTTATTAAAAAATCCCTCTCAATTTAGTAACACAGAAGTTACTACCTAGGCTATGCATCATAATGAGGCAAGATCAGTGCTAGCAATATTCACGTAACTACCATATCAAGTTTATGCTGTCCGGAAGGGAGATCTGAACAGTTCCCAGGGAAGTGCTTTGATAAATAAGAAAAGAGTGAATGGAGGGAAAATGGCCATAAAAGCCTATGACTGTGAAAAGAATCAACAACATAGAATTTTAGGATTGAATGGTCTGAACTCTTTCCTTGTAATGTTCAACTTCTGTATGCTTTGGCTAAATTTCCAAAGGTGTTTTCCAAAAGTATGTAGTGTGTTTTAGAACACTGTAAATGTAAGATGTTATATCGCATTTGGCAATCCAGTTTAGATATAGCTTTTTCCATGGTTGCATAACCAAATATGTCTCTATTCTATTTTAATAGAAGAAACCTTATTGCTTCCTAGAATAATTATTTCACTTCCTTCTCATAAATAAAATTAACCCTCCCCTTTTATGTGCTATTTCAATTTTGAATGTGTAAAACTCTTGTCTGATGTTTATACTGTCTTGGTGTACTGATATTTAGCAGTGTAAGTATAGTTGAAATTTGGTATCCTGGACATTTTCTGTGTAAACTAAAATTCCATTTTGATTAAAAGACCTTACTTGCTGTAACTGACATGAATGTTTGGTTACTGTATTCTTCCTAATGTATAACCTGTTGGGGGAGGAGAGAGAGAGAGAGAGAATGAGCGAATGAATGACTGAAATTGGAATGATTACAACCTGACTGGTAGGATGCTCACTTCTGTACCAGAAGGTTGTGGGGTTGAAGTCCTACATGAGGATGCTCACCCTCTTCTGACTACCATACACTACTAGTAGGTTCTGTAGTCTCAGACGTGTTGCATTGCAGGCAGGCTTCAAACTGACTTTTTTTGTTTTGCTTAGTCTCTGGTTGTCCAGTTGAACACTTAAGGATCCCAGAGCTATTTTGGACAGGAGTAGCAGATCACTTGTGTACTGTCCAACAATTTCATCTTTGAATAATTTTTCGTGTGAGTGTTTGAATGAATGAATGAATTATTGTGGGCAGCAGAGCACCTGCTCTAACAACCGCGGTACTTGTGTGTGTAATTAATCAGTGGAAAGATTTTGTACTAAGAAAAAGTACTCAAGGAGCTATATTGAAACATGTTACATTAGTACACCTCTACCTCGATATAATGCTGTCCTCGGGAGCCAAAAAATCTTACCGCATTATAGGTGAAACTGCGCTATATTGAACTTGCTTTGATCCGCTGGAGTGTGCAGCCCTGCCCCCCCGGAGCACTGCTTTACCGCGTTATATCAGAATTCGTGTTATATCGGGTTGCGTTATATTGGGGTAGAGGTGTATGTAAGTGAATATCTGCAGTGTAACTGGAAAAAAATATCATGGTGGAATAGCTATAAATGTAGTATTTAAAATGTTGTTTGCTTTTATAGTTGGAATATTACAAACAAGGAAAAACAGAAGATTTTGTGAAACTGTTGGAAGCTGCACGAATAGATGGTAACTTGGATTATAGGGACCATGAAAAAGATCAGATGACATGCTTGGATACTCTGGCAGCATACTATGTACAGCAGGCACGGAAGGAAAAGAATAAAGACAACAAGAAGGAGCTTATTACGCAAGCTACCCTGCTGTATACTATGGCTGACAAAATTATCATGTATGATCAGGTAAAAAAAGATTGTGTCCATTTATACAAAGAATCATCGCTATAAACTGTGTCATTAAACTTAGTTTGTAACTTTGTTATTGTATCCATATTCCAACTCTGGATTCAAAGTACATTTTTTGAAAGGAAGCAGATACCTAATTATTGTACCCTAAAGGGAAGGTAGCCACTGATGGGCAAGCCCTTACAACCTCATTAGTATGTGTTACACTACTGATTTCACAAATGTTTGGATTAAATTGGCACTTGTGTAGCACTGCCTAGAATAAAAGTGGTTCTAGCTCAAGCGTCTTGATGTAACTATGCCTGTGTGTTCCTTTTTTGTTGTTGGCCTAAACATTTTGCTCAATATACCTTCCTACTTTGGTGGTATGTGATTTGTAGAAATTAATTGTGGGAACCTACAGTCTCACCATTGGTATTGCCACAGGCCTTGATGCAGGAGAATCAAATTCATCATAAAATACCAAAATGAGGTTTAAAGTAGTATGTTAGCACTCTTTCCTTTAGTTTAATTTTTATAGCTTTTTTAAGAAAGACCCAAATACAAAATCGTAGTATTTGTATAAAAATGCAAAGAATAATATCTTAGAAATCTGTTTCTCATCTAGAATCACTTGTTGGGAAGAGCCTGCTTCTGTCTGCTGGAGGGTGATAAAATGGACCAGGCTGATGCCCAGTTTCATTTTGTGCTCAACCAGTCTCCAAATAATATTCCAGCCCTCCTTGGTAAGAATTTTGTGAATATCTCTGCAAAAACCCAGTCTCTCCATCTCCGTTTAGGACTTGTAGAAAATGCATGTTCTCAGTCTGTCCCAATTCTCGTAAGTAGAGACATATGTGGGCCTTGCCGTAAAGAAGGGAGATCTCTGTCTTGGGGTAATACACATTTAAGATTCTGAGATGGATTCAGGAAGTGCCTGCAGAAAGGAAAGCTGTGGTGTTGGGGGCACTGTCAACAACTGTATGCTAATGCCTGTGTGGTTATGTACATGTCCACCCTTGTTGTATGGCTTGATTCTGCAGATGTGCTACCTCTTCTTCCCCCTTTGTCTGGCTCTTATATGAAGCAACTCCCAGGTCAAAATATTTTAAATTGAGATTCCTCTGTGAGGGGTCATGTATGTTGAATATGTCTCTTATAGTGTATCAATTTAGTTTTTATCCCCTGAAATCAAGTCCTTGTTCCCCTTGATTCAGGGTTCCTACAGCCCTCCTTCTAGACTTCTGTATGAGTGTCCCCATAAGCTACCCCTCCATACGTCAGGAGTCTCACAGCCCTCCTACGGTCTGTGCTGATAATTCAGGTTGGCTGCACCACTCAGCTTTTGAGCTGGCCTCTTTAATCCTGTCCTTTCTCCCAGTGCTGTGAAAGGTCAGTAGGCTGAAGGGCCAACAGGCAGGTGCACAGTTCTACTTTCACTAGGCAAGTATGCCTCCTTCAAGCTGTCTGCTCACTCTCTCCTCCTTTGGCTCTCTGGAGGCTTCTCTTTTATTCCTAGGCCTGTGACTGATTTAGACTGATGTCATATGACCTACCCGATTTAGTCACATTTGGGGAGGAGAGCTGAGTGAGGCACAGGTGGGGCAGACCTTTTACTCTAAAAGGGGCCAGTCACCTGGGACAGTCCACCTTACTTACTAGTCTTTTCTTGCTGACACTAGCGGTGCTGTGTACTCTTATTGTGGTCAGAACACTTTCAGTAGTGAAGAGTCAGCAAGTAGTAACCCCTTCAGTCAGTATTCTAGAATGAAGCTTAGGGCAATTTTCATCTAAACTTCCTAACCAAGAAAGGAAAATGAAAGTTTATTTAAAAATTATTTTAAAACCTTACTTTTGTTTCCTGTTGCCCTTTATTAATTTTATTTTCTGAGATACTTGACACTTGTAGGCTCGGCATCAAGACCCACAAAGCAGTTATAATCAAATGAATGTTCCTGACCGCATCCAAGCCTTCACTAATTCCATTTATTCTGGCACTAACTAAAAAGGTCAAAATAGCAAACCTCTAGCAACTTCTGTAACTTGTTCGTTATAACAGGTAAAGCATGCATTTCGTTCAACAAGAAAGATTATAGAGGAGCCCTTGCCTACTACAAGAAAGCACTGCGAACGAACCCAGGTTGTCCAGGTAAGGCATAGAAAATCTTTGCTACTGAAGCGATCTTACTAAGTTGTTTAAACCTAAAACTGGTCCTTATAATTCCTGCAGTTAGAAAATGGGCTTTATTATAATTTCTTTTCTCCAATCCACGCTGTCACAAATTAAATTCTTATTCTTGTAGGACAGATCTGCTTTCTGCTGGCTCTGTAATAGCTGCTAACTAAGTAAATGACTAAGAGTATGTCTGCCGTATTGTTGTAGCCATGTTGGTCCCAGGATATTAGAGAGACAAGGTGGATCAGTGGTAATTTTGTTTTATTGGACAAGCTTTTGAGTTACACAGAGCTCTTCTTCAGGTCTGGAAAAGGTACTCAGTGTCATAGCTAAATATAATGCAGAACAGATTGTTTAGCATAGGTAGTTAACACATTATTGGGGCATTTAGTGCACTGGATGAGGTACGCATGTGGTGATGGGCATGTGTAGGATCCATGTATCTTGAAAGGTGTGGGGGTGGGTATTGGTCATCATAGCAGTGTAAATATGTGTGTTGCATCTGTTGGTGTGGTTTTGGTCTGTGAGGAGCTTGCTTCTGATAGTGAGGTTTAGTGGGTTGTTTGAAGGCCAGAAGAGGTAGTTTGGGAAAGATTTTTTTTTCAGGATGTGGTCCCCATTGAGTTTGGGTTGTGATTGTTTTATGATACCTCATGGGGGTTCCAGTGTGGAGTAGAAGGTGACAAATAGAGGTGTGAAGTTGGAGGATTTTTTTCCTGTATTGAAACAGGTTCTCTTGGGGTATTTGGGTGGCCTGTTCCATGGTGCGATGTACTTCTCTGGTGGAGTGTCCTTGTTTGATGAAGGCAGTCTTAAATGTGTTAGTTTATATCCCAGACTTACCACAGAATATGCTCCGAGGAGACTCCGAGTGCCTGTCTGTAGATAACAGATTTCTTGGTGTGTTTGGGGTGGTTACTGGCTCTGTGAAGATAAGTGCGATCTGTGGGTTTATTGTGTATAGTTGTCTGTAGGATGGATGGATGGATGGGGATGGTTGAAGTTGTGGTGGAAGTCTAGGTCCTCTGTCCTGAAGATGAAAATATCATCGATGTATCTCTAGTATATCATTGGTTTCATGGTGCATTTGTCCAGAAATTCTTCCGCTTGGTGTCCTATGAAGAAGCTGGCATGTTGAGGAGCCATCCTACTACCAGTGGCTGTTCCCATGGTTTGGTTGAAGTGTGTGTTTGTTGAATGTAAAATTGGTTTGGGTGAGGATCAAATGAATAAGTTTGGGGTAAATATCTGAGTATTGGCCATACTCTCGCTGGCTATGATTTGAGCTAGTGCGCACATCAAAAAGATCATAACTATGCCAGTGGGAGGGGCCAGCCACCTTGAGTATGTGCCTAGCATCTCAGACAAATATGTACTCGGGGTGACTAGTGACTCACACCAAAGTGGCTACACCCCATTTCTAGTATACTAGCTCAAGGAGAGCCGATGCAGGTATATTTCCTTGAGCTGAGATTTATGCTTCCAGTTCAAAGAGTAGACATACCTTAAGGAGACCAAGTTCAGAATAGTATTTCATGCATTTCTGACCAATAGATTTTAAAAAAGCCATTAAAGAAGTGCAGAAAGTACAAAAGGAATGTCCGAATAAAGACTATTGTTCAAAAAGGATTACAGAAACTAGCTCTAAGCTTTTTGAATATGAAGTTAGACAGAGGTAAATGGAGACCTCACAGAACTCTGAACAAAACAAATGATGTATGAGTCAAATTTATCTAAGATGTATCAAATGATACAAAAATATCTGATGAGCTGATCGTTCGTTGTATAGTATGGGATTTTTGTTACTAAAATTCTGCAGAAACTACCAGAGGCAGCAGAAGTTATATATGCAGTGTTTACAAGTTAAGAAAGTACTTGAAGAGGGTGTCACACATTCCTTTAAGAGAGGAATAAGTGTTATAAAACACTGAAAGATGGGGTACACCTACATGAGCTACTTGGCCATTTTCTGTCCTAAACATGAGTTATAACGAGGGCAGTGGTTCTCAAACTATTGTACTAGTGACCCCTTTCACATAGCAAGCCTCTGAGTGTGACCCCCCCCCTTCTGAATTAAAAACACTTGTTTATATATTTAACACCATTATAAATGCTGGAGGCAAAGCGAGGTTTGGGGTGGAGGCTGACAGCTTGCGACCCCCCCCCCATGTAATAATCTCACAACCCCTTGAGGGGTCCAGACCCCCAGTTTGAGAACCCCTGAATTAGGGCCACATGTAATCTTTGATTCTATAGCTGTGGATTAGCTGCAGAATCCACTCCTTGCTGCAGAGTTGTACTCAGAAATTGAAGTGCCTTTTTTTTTTTTTTTAAAAAAAAAAAGTTTCTATTGCTTACAAGGAAAACTTCTAAATGTGAAATGACTGTAAACAAATGTGGCTGTTTATTCCTGAGTCGGCAGGCAGCCTGAAACAATGTCTGTAGTGTGAACTGCTCCCTTTATGTTGAACTGTGTAAGAACTTTGATACGAATGGATGATGATTTAAGCAGCCTTTGTTAACCCTTTCACTTCTAATCATTTTAGAAGAAACACCTTGCTTAATTGCTTATCCCACAATCCCAAACCATCTCATACCCTTGCCGAGGTACCAAAACTGTCCCCTTTCTAGCTGATCAAACCTCCAGCTTTCCTGCTTGGCAATTCTGTAATACTGTTCTTTCTAAATGTCATTCTGCAGCACAATGAAAAATTATTAGGAATAGATTAAAAGTGATATTAAATATGTATAAATGTTACACTGACTGCACTAATCTTTCCTATTCCATTTAATGAAAAAAATTATCTGAAACTACTTCAAAAGTAGAAGCCTGCTCCACTGGAATAGAGTAGAAACCAGGGGCCTTACCACACTATTAATATCAGCTTTTCCACTGAGCACGGGGCCTTGTCTATAACCATCTCTAAATACATTGTGACTCAAGTAATAAAGATATCAATCCTGTATCAGCTCACTGTTTAGAGTAAAAAACATACACATAAAAAGTTTTGATTTTTGACATTCTGAATGACTTGCTTTTGTTTCCTAGCTGAGGTTCGATTAGGCATGGGCCATTGCTTCGTGAAACTGAACAAGTTGGAAAAAGCTCGTCTGGCATTCAGCAGGGCTCTGGAGCTCAATTCGAAATGTGTAGGGGCTTTGGTTGGATTGGCTGTTCTAGAGCTCAATAACAAAGAGGTGGGTGTGAGCTGGGATGGGAAGAATGTGAAGTGCTGTATTGGGTTTCTAGTTAAACAGTGAGCCTCACAACAGTCTGAAAATCATTTGTTTTTTTAATTTTATATATATTTAATAATCAATCACTGAATCACTTATTCTTATTCACTGAATCATGGTATTGCAATTCTGAATAGTTATGAAGAGTGCAAATTAAATAATGCTAATCTCTCGTGCGCTTATTAAATACAAGCAGCTCTAAGAAGTGATATGTACACTAAGTGATATGAATTCAAAACTATAGTGGTGTGTTAAATATATATGTGTATGTGTGTATTTATTTATTTAACATCGAATAATAAACTGTGCCCATGTACGCAGTCTGAGAACATTGCTAATGGTTTGAAATTTGTCCTTAATTGTGGAACTTTAATCAGTTCACCACCTTCAATAAGCAGCCCCTCTAAATACAAATAACTCTGCAACACATTGGCCAGTGTTGCATTCTTCCCTTACCCTCTTCTTTAAAGGCCAGACATTAAAAACAAGTCCTTTACCATCCTCTGAAAGTCTGCATATCTCAAGTAAAATTGGTCTGGTATAGAAGGACACTTTAGGGAGAATGCTATACGAGTAGCCCCCTCACCATTGTATCAAGGAGTAATCTACTGTCTGTGTCTCCACTGATTGCAGTTGTAGCAGAGTGTCTTGGTAAGAAAGGCAGTCTCTCAGGTGGCCTGATCCCAGGCTATTCAGACTTCGTAAGTCCAAACCAACACCTTAACATCTGTCTGAAGTTTGCATGTAACTAGTGTAGATTCAGGAGTACAGGTGTCACATGGAACTTGTCCACAGTAAAAGGTTTGACACTTTAACCATATTGGCAAAACCCTCCTGTGTTGATAAAAGAACAGGAGTACTTGTGGCACCTTAGAGACTAACAAATTTATTTGAGCATAAGCTTTCGTGGGCTACAGCCCACTTCTTC